TCTGCTAGCCGGACTGTGATGTGAGCTTGGTCGAGCCAAAGCTCGGGTGTAATGGGCCGATAGTCTTGGACCCGTCCCATTATCCCAACAAATAGTATTCTATACATGATATATATTTTACATTATATCATGTATAGAATTATAATCATAATTATCACTAATCATAGAAAATTATCGAATAATATTTATTCGTATCGTATTCAATATAAGAAAAATAGATGACTAAATAATGTTCATTTAACACAACCATTTACCATATGTTCAAATTTAATTGAAAAAGTGTATAAATATTAACCATCAAATAAATTGTTCTATGGACAAATTCATCCCTGCAACGCACAGGTGGATTGACTATTTAATAATTTAAAATGGTTAAATTGAGATAAATTGTGAAATTGCACCATAAGATTTTATATTCAAAATATATACATATGTTCAATTGTACGTAATAAATTACTTTAACAAGAGGGAATGAGATTTTTTTTAAAGTAATTTTTTATTTAAAAAAATTACTTTAAGAACACAGAGGTCTTGAACCCTATTGTTAGGGTTTGGCTATTCCGCTGCCTTGACTTAGCTTCCAGGGTTGTTGCGACAAGTTTTTCCTTGATTTTGAACATTCAAGGTTGGATACAATTATGGATTTCATCGTGTACGGGAAGAATTTTGCATCTACAACGGATATTATATCTAGGATATTGGTGATTGCGCTAATAATTGCCGCAGTTACACCTGCTCCTATTTCAACAATGATAGCATCAACAAGAGCACCAGTGTCTAGCTTGTTGGATCTGGGGGTTGTTGACGGCACTACAAAAAAAATACGGGATTGGCAGGGATTGACACGAAAACATCGATAAATCCGTGCCAAATTATGTGTCAATCTCGTAATTTTTTTGTAGTGCGGTGTCAACAATGGATCTGCTTTGCAAAGGATGTACGGCCTCACAAGGTGGTTAGGCTTGCATTGTTTGATCAGATCGCTGATACCACTGGTTGGGAGTGTGAGTTAGGAGGAGGGCCAAAAATCAGGGTTGGGGCAGTCGGAAGGGCCAAAAAACTGGGTTGGAAACTTGAAAAATCTGGAAGCATGAAAGCTCGGTTTTTAATCCTAAAATATTTTTTAGTTAGTCTTTTTGTTATGTTTTATTCTAGTTTAATTTAAGGTTTTAGTTTTGCTATGTATTTTGTGTTTTTATTTTAGATAATTGGTGAGTTTCGTTATGGTGGTAGTTAGGGTCTAGGTTCAAGGTGAGTTGGACGACAGAAATAAACGATAATTCGATCATGATAGACATTTTGTTGCTAGGGCTTGTGATCAAGGTTGTGCTAGCAGTGGTCTTGATGTTTGCTCGGGTGTTCTAATTATTCAAATATAATCCTTTTACATTCAAAAAAACATTGCTTAACATTAAACTTTCATCAACCATAAACCAAATCTTGTATAGTTGACTAGTTGTTTTGAGCATGCTTATATTAGGGCTTCTAATTATATGTGATCGAGTAGGTTCGTCTCCAGCTTGTGGACCATGCCGGTGAGTTTTCACCATGGATTTGTTGGGAGCAAGTATCTGTCGCTTTTGTCGATGGCTTTTTTTGGAGAGTTTGGAGGAATAATGTGGATCGTTGCGCTTACCGCTACAATAAAAGCAATCGCTGATAGTGTAGCACGCTCCTCCCCCTTTATAGCACAAGCGAAGCGCCACGCGGTTCGATTGCACCGGCAGGCTGGCAGATTGCTGGCACCGCATACCCGCGCCGCGGCCCAACAACTCCCCCCAGCACCTGCCAGCCTCAACTGCGCAGCATGCTGTTGCCGGGGGTCGAACCCGTGACCTTGGCTCTGATACCACTTGTGGATCGTTGCGCTTACCGCTACACTAAAAGCAATCGCTAATAGTGTAGCACGCTCCTCCCCCTTTATAGCACAATCGAAGCGCCACACGGTTCAATTACACCGGCAGGCTGGCAGATTGCTGGCACCGCATACCCGCGGCCCAACAAACAATATCGTCAAATGGCGCTTGGAGGGGAGGTAACCGGAGGTTAAGGTTTAACCTTCAAAGCAGCAGGAGGGAGCGGCTGGATGTGATGGTCGTTTTCTTACATTCTCAATGGTGGGAACGCTGATCATCGAAAAGATGGTATAGTTACCCATTTCTAGGGATGTCATGGCTGTAATTTAGCACTCCGGTAAAGGTGTTTCAAAAAAAAAAGTCATAAAATAGCCATAAAAATACTCCAATTTTTGCTTTGCATGTGGTAACAATGTAACACAGAGCACACAAATAGATTTTTCATGTGGACTTTGAAAGGACATGATAGGGATGATCATTCATATGGTTCATGACTAAGAACGAGTAAATTCAGAGGCATGCATAAAGTGGCACTACAAAAAAGGATTGAATTAGGCACTTAAATCAGGCACCTAAAGCCCTAGTGACTATACTCATCAGCTTTGTCACTTGAATTGGAGTGACTAAATTGAAAGTATTTGTCACCACTTTTATCACTTAAACACTTGTTGAGAAAAAAAAAAGGACCGATTCTCCAGCGGAAGATTTCCAACCGTGCGCAAGTATAGTGAAGCTAGCGGAATTTATCTGTTATCCCAAGTTTAGGGTCATTTGAATTTTATTTTTGTGTATATATACTACATTAATTCCTATACTTTTACATTAGTGATTTCTCCTTAGCTTCCAATTTTTCTTTTTTCCCCCATATCATGTTCAAGCACTCTAGAGCTTTACACTAGAAAAGAAGTCAGTTCTATACAGTCCAAATATTAACTCTGCAGTTGATTAAGGAAGAAGATATGTGAGATCAAGTTAAGGAACAAATTCTTCCACTATTTACGCCATCGTTCGATTCAATTTGGTAAGCGTCTCCATAAAGCTTGTATAATTTTAAGATCTATTTGTTATTTCATTTTTCATTTAAAAAATTTCTTTTGTTGAATTAAATGTAATTGTAAGTTACAATATAACGTGTGTCAGTCCAATTACTCAAATAATAATGTTGATTAAATATGGAAATTTAGGAGTAATAATAATATCATGATTAGAAAGTTGTTTCCTTATAAGTGAGAAATCACTTTTCTTTTGAAATGTACAAAATGAACTCTTATGTTGTAGCAGTTGCGATGTTGATTGTATCGGATTGTAAAATATTTATTTACTTACTTCTTTAAAATTGATGTGATGAGAAATAAAAAGTATTTGGACTTAAAAATACATAACTTGTTGCTAAATTAATGTCAATTATCGATCTATTTATAGTTTTATTAATGAGTACATAGTAGTTGTTCGGAGAATAATGATATAATAATAATAATAATAATAATAATGATGATGATGATGATGATGATGATGATGATGATGATGATAATAATAATAATAATAATAATAATAATAACAATCACAATAACAATAATAACAACAACAACAATAACAATAATCATAATCATAATAATAATCATAATAATAATAATAATAATAATAATAACAAATTACAACCGTTGTATCCGCTCGTGATTGTAAGTATGCGTTTTAGATTATTTTGTTACAAATACAATAAGAAATTAAAATTTTAATACAATATTACTTAGTTAATTTTCATGATATTTAATCATAGAATATATGTATTGCAGCTACAATGTACAAACATGCTAGGAGTTGGATGTATGACAACCACTTAGAAAATAAAGATTCGTCTGATAAATTTGAAAGTGGCATTGAGGATTTCATTACATTTTCATGTGAGCATCCGACATATATGGATGGTACTAAAATAAGGTGTCCATGTAAAAAATGTAAGAACAAGGCATATAAAGATCAAGAAGATGTTCGATGGCACCTATACAAATATGGGTTTATTGAAAATTATTATAATTGGACATCACAAGGTGAACCTATTCATCATCATGAGCGCTTCGTTGAACGAGAGAATTTATTGGCCGCTATGTCTGGCAACAATCCCACTCAATGGAATGATTATGAGAATATGAACTGGGATCAAAGGATGGTAAACGATGCTATTGGTGTGCATAATGTTCCAGAGCATTATGATAGCTCCCCAAACACAGATGATGGAAGTCCCAACGAGTCATTTTCAGCACCAACTTTAAATGACTCTCCAGATCGTTTTTTCCATGTGCTTGAATCTGCGGACCGACCTCTTTATGGATGTGGTACAAAGTTCTCACAACTGCAATTTGTGTCGAGATTAATGAGCATCAAGGCTGACCATAATTGGTCAGAGGCTAGTGTGACCGAACTTTTGTTATTTCTTAGAGACGCTCATGAAGGCCCTAACACCATCCCAAAGAGTTTTTATGCGATGAGAAAGTTAGTATCAGATTTAGGCCTCCCTGTCCATCATATTGACACTTGCAGATCAGGATGCATGTTGTTTTGGAAAGATGACAAGGACTTGCACCATTGCAAGTTTTGTGGAGAAGAAAGATACAAGAACCGGAAAGGTACAGGCGATGGTGAAATAGGTAAGTTGACAGCCGTAACCATGCTTCGATATTTGCCACTTGCGCCAAGGTTACAAAGACTATATGCTTCTGCTGTTACTGCGGGTGAAATGACGTGGCATAAGAATCACGAGTCACAAGAAGGCATGATGTGTCATCCATCAGATTCACCGGCATGGAAGCATTTTGATACCACATATCCTAGATTTGCTAAAGAGGCACGTAATGTTCGTTTAGGGTTATGTACTGATGGATTTGCACCACATGGACAATATGGTAAAAATTATTCATGTTGGCCAGTTATATTGACTCCTTACAATCTTCCACCTGGCATGTGCATGAAAAGTCCATATATGTTTATCGCTGATAATTCCTAGACCAAATAACCCTAAAAAAATTGATGTATACATGCAACCATTAATTGATGAATTGAAGATGTTGTGGGATACAGGAGTTGTTACTTATGATGCCGCACGTAATGAATTATTTAGGTTGCATGCTTGTATTCTATGGACAATTAGTGACTTTCCTGCATATGATATGCTTTCTGGGTGGAGTACGGCTGGGATAATGAGTTGCCCTATATGCATGGAGAATACGAGTGCCTTTTATCTAAAGTATAGTAGGAAGCCATGTCACTTTGATTGTCATAGGAAGTTCTTGCCTCTTAATCACTTTTATCGAAGGGATAACACGTCTTTTTTAAAAGACAAGATAGAGAGAAGTGCACCACCACCTCGTCTGAATGGAAGAGAACTTTGGGCACGTGTCAGATCCATTCCATCGGCAATAGAAGAGCCCAATGAAAAACCAAGTGGCTATGGAGTAGGGCATAAATGGACTAAACAAAGCATTTTTTGGGAGCTTCCATATTGGAAAAACTTACTTATTAGGCACAACTTGGATTTGATGCATACCGAGAAGAACGTTTTTGATAATATTTTTAATACTTTGATGGGTGTAAAGGGTAAAACAAAAGATGGTTTGATGTCAAGAAAAGATGTTGCTTTGTATTGTAGTCGTCCTGGAATAGAGGTTCAAAGTGATTCTGTGGGGCCTATAAATAAAGCCGTGTACAAAGTTACCCATACGCAAGCCCAATGCATTTTGGAGTAGATTACGTCCCTACAATTTCCAGATGGATACATGTCAAACTTAAAAAGATGTGTGAACTTTGACGAGTCACGCTTAATGCATATGAAGAGTCATGATTGTCATGTGTTCATGCAAAGGCTTATACCTATAGCATTCAGAGAGATGCTTCCGACTCATGTTTGGGGTTGCCTTACCGAGATTAGCATGTTATTCCAGACACTATGTTCAGTTGTTCTTGATATCACAACTATACAAGATCTTGAAAGGACTGTACCTATACTTATGTGCAATATGGAAAAGATTTTTCCTCCTGCATTTTTCGATCATATGGAACACCTCATTATTCACTTGCCATATGAAGCCATGGTTGCTGGTACAGCACAATACAGATGGATGTACGTTTTTGAAAGGTATTTATTAAAATTTATTAAAAATTGTATATATATTTAAGCTTTTTGTGCAAACTAACATATTTAATGTGTATTTTGTATTGTAGATTCCTTCGAGAGCTGAAGAAAAAGGTGAAAAATAAAGCACATGTCGAAGCATCTATTTGTCGGGCCTATATAACAGAGGAGATTTCGACATTTGCGTCATACTACTTTGAGAGTCATGTAAGATGCAAACGACGACGTGTTGGAAGAAATGATGATGGTGGAGGTACAATCTCAAGGCGAGCTTTTTCAAATTTTAACTATCCTGGTAGAGGATCTGGCAAAGAGCATCATCGATTTGTCGTTGGTGAAGAGTTACATATCGCACAAACCTATGTATTAGTGATCTGCCCTGAAGTTGATCCATATTTAAGGTAAAAAAATCATAATCTTTTTTATTTTCCTTTTAATGTGTTAAACTTCAAGAAGTCTAAGTTCAAAGATCACGAACATGCAATTTATTGAAAACTTTCAAGGCCAGGATGAAAGTGAACTCGATAAATAGATATCTTCTCACTTCGCACAATGGTTCAAAGATCTTGTAAGTTGATGTACCCATTTTGATATATTGTTCCTTGGTTGTCACTTGATAATGAAATATACATATATTTTGTTTTAGGTACATTCTCCTGTTAATTGTATTAGTGATCCACTTTTATCTTCTCTGGCTTGGGGCCCAAAATCCCGTGAACCTACTTGGCCTATGTATTTCATTAATGGATATAATTATCATACTGTTGAAAGAGGCTTGAATAAAGCAACATACAATAGTGGTGTGTGTGTCCGTTCTTCCAATTACGCCAATTCTGATACTGATTGGTATGGCTCTCTTGAGGAAATTATCCAGCTCGACTATCCTGGCCCACTGGGATTACATGTTGTCTTATTTAAATGTTCATGGATTGAACCTATTAGAGGAGTGAGGAAACATGACAAGTACAACATTGTGGATGTTAATTTCAAGTACAAGTACAAAGTGAACGAGCCATTTATTCTAGCACAACAAGTTGCTCAAGTTTACTATGCAAGTTATCCATCTGTGAGAAAAGGAAGTGATTGGTTATGTGCTTGCAAAACAAGTGCGAAAAGGACATTGATTGAAAATGTGAAAGAAGATGAATTTGCATATCAAACAGATGAGTCAGATGCGGTGCCTCAAATTGAGCCGATTAATGAAGGTGGCGGATCATGAATGAATGGCAACGGGGGAAGATGGGAGTCAGCCTAATGGGATGCAAGTAGGATTGAAGGGCTAGTTGTTGCCCGTATTGGTGGAAAACGGGAAAGCTTATAGACCTATATGGTAGAACACAAAGAAGCTAGGTTAGCACGGGTTCAAAAACAGCAATAGATGCGGGAGGAGTTCGAATTGTCGGTTCCATTAAGAAACCGTTATATATAATAATAAAAAAAATTATACAATTCATATACATATGGATGTATAGGAACCTCTGTGCGAACAAGGCCGTCAGAGGATCAGGACCTTCCCGGTAGAATTTTTTGATGAAACGTTTTGAACATATTCTTCATCAAGTCTAGTTTATGTCCATCAAATGTCAGCTTAAAACTCCATCGCGGAGGCAATTAAATAAATTATTGAACAAAACTGTGCCAAAGTATACATATAAAAGTGCAGTTTTTTTAAATAGTTTATTTAACTACCTTTGCGATGGATTTTTAAGCTGAAATGTGGTGGGCATAAACTAAATTTGATGAAGAACATGCTCAAAAAAATTCATCAATAAATTACACCGGAAGGCCTTCGGACAGACTTGTCCGCACGGAGGTTCCTATACATACATATGTATAGGAACGAGACTATATATATATATATATATATAGGGAAGAGATCAAATAAAGAGAGGTTCTTCCATGTAAAGTGCGAACGATTGCACTTTTTCCTTACCGCGTTTCACTTTTGCGTGTTTCTTTTGCACTTTTTCGCAGTGGCAAAATACTTCGTTTTAATTACGAAATTGCCATTGCGTTTTTTATCAAAATTAGTTCACTTTTGGCTCATTTTGAGCCATTAGATCTGGAAATGAATGCACGAGATTAATTCTCACTTTGCATGGGAAGACCTCTTTGTATTTGAACTCTCCCATATATATATATATATATATATATATATATATATATATATATATATATATATATATATATGGTTTTGGTTCAAATAAGAACATGATCTTAGGAGAGAAATGGGAACGAATCTGGACCGTTAGATTTGTTTTAAGTGAAATTCAATGTGCATTAGATGAAACTGTAATGTGCATTAGGTGAAATTGAAATGTGCAACACAAAGCGTATGATACAATGTCATTAAGTGAAGAAGTTGAAATGTGCACTAGGTGAATTTGAAATGTGCACTAGGTGAAACTGAAATGTGCAGAATAAAAGGTACGTTGTGATGTTATTTTTGTACATTTTATTCTGCACATTTCAGTTTCACCTAATGCACAATTGAGTTTAAATTTTTATTCTGCACATTTCAGTATCATGTAATACACATTTCAGTTTCATCAAATGCACATTTCCGTTCCACATAATACAATCCAACGGTCCAGATTCGTTCTTATTTCTCTCCTGGGAGTCCGTTCTTACCGGAACCGCTCCATATATATATATATATATATATATATATATATATATATATATACTTATTTATACTTATTTATATACTTATTTATTTTTCTATTATATTATTGTTTATATAATACTTATTTATATAATACTTATTTTTTTTCTATTCTATTATTGTTTATTTTAACAGTTTCCTCTAAGGCTCTTACGCCTCTTATTAGAGGTCTAGATTGTCGAAATTAAGTGCTCTGCTCGTGACCCTTTGACATGAATGATTTTTTTTCTGACTAATTATGTTGCTGATTCAAGATCATAATTATTAATTGTACTGAATATGTTGTTATGTTTTTTTACTAAAATGTTGAGTTTGATATGTATTTAGGTTTTAAACTCAACTTTTGAGGTTACAAATGATGGTAAACATTTTTCTATTTATTGTAATTTCAAATGTTGAATGTTTTTTGGCAAAAATTTAATGGTGATTTGTAAGAAATTTTTTAAAAATTAAGAACCGTTAAATGATAAGAACTGAACCATTAATAATGGTTCGGTTCCATATTAATTATGTAGAAAATGTAAAGACCCGTAATCGTTATTAAAATTTGATATTTTAATTTTAAACAGTTTCATCTATTTTGTCTAGGAGCCGAATCGGTCTAGATGTAGTCTCAAAGCATCTCATAACGTCCTTTTATAAAGAAGTAAAAATCTAGACGTGGGCTTATTAAGGGAGCAAGTCATCACATAAGGCTCATGAAATATAAGAAGCAAAATGAGGTTATATGCGGAGTATGAGACAGTATTCCCATATTCAAATTTAGAATGACACAAATAATTGACTAAGAGGTCAAATAGGCTCCTATACTCGTTCAAAATGCTCAATTCGCCCTCTAAACTCTAAAAAGCTCATATTCGCCCCCTGAACTCGACAAAAAGTTCAAATCTCATTTTTTGCAGGTAAAAGTCCGGTCAACACCACGTCACCTGATCAGATGCCAACCATGCATCCCACGTGGCAATTTAAGGGGTCAAATAGGCCCCTGAACCCGACCGAGTTGTTCAATTCACCCCCTCAACCGTTACAGTGTAAAAATTACAAGTTCATAATATATAAGTTTCTAATGTAAAAAGGAAATATTTATATTTTCAGGCAAATTAAATATATAAAAAATATAGCGAAAAAATATATTTTAAATACATAATATAAAAATGTAATAACTATTTTCATATTACAAAAAATTCTTACACTTTCTAACAATTGAGGGAGCAAATCGAACAACTATGTTGAGGTCAAGGGCCTAATTGACCCCTTAAATTGCCGTGTGGGATGCATTGTTGGCATCTGATCGGGTGACATGGTGGTGACCGGACTTTCACTTGCAAAAAATGAGATTTAAACTTTTTTGTCGAGTTCTGAGGGTGAATTGGAGCTTTTTAGAGTTGAGGGGACGAACTGAGTATTCTGAACAGGTACATGGCTTAGGTAGAAGGAATTGGAGACTCCTTGTGTGTTAACAATGCTCAGTTTGCAATGTGAAAAAAACAATCAGAGCAAGGATTTAGCGATTTTATTGCTTCCAATTTGCAATCATAAGATGAAACGGGTGATTGAGAGGAGAGGATAAAGGGCACAAATGGAGAAACAATTAAAGGGTGAAGGGAGAGAAGCAGGAAGCTAAGGGATTTTCCCTTTCGGTAAAATAGAGATTACCATATCATGTCCACACCAACAATGCTACTTTTTTCAACTCTTAAAGAAGACACAAAAGTTCAGCATAAACTTAAAAAAACTCCTACCCATAAATAATAGGCTAATATTTTAAACGACCATATAGGGAAGAGGTACTTTGAATTGAAATTTAAAACTAAGAAAGAGATGAGACCTATAGGGAAGAGGTGTACTCTTTGAATTCAAATTTAAAACTAAGAAAGAGATGAATTAAAAAGATAAACATCAGCATCTATAAAGTAGGCAGATATTTCAAATATACTTAAATATATAAACCTACCATTTAAATCTACTACTACAAACATTTTTATAGAGTAACATATGGACAATAACATTTTTATAGAGTAACATATGGAGTATCATATATCATAAACTGATATATGTGGATACAAAGCAAAACTAAGCTTTAGGATGGAACATGAGGGTTGAAAATGTAAAGGATGTTGGAAAATGTGTTAATAAATTGCATTAAATGGTCATTTTGTGACAATTTTTTTAGTAGAGTCCACTTTCGATTTGGGTCAGGTCAAAGTGGTTTCGGATTGTCCTTGTTAAGGTCTACAATTCGATATGTGGCACACTCAAAATGGATAACGGGTGAATGAGAAATTGATTCTCAAAGTTCACTCGTTGAAATAGAGAAAACTAGGAAAATGATAGGTTTCTAGTGTGTTTTATCCCACACCGGAAAACCCAATGGATTTTCATTCCCTTATAAAGGGAACTCCATTTGAAGGAGTTAAGATTCTTAGGTGGAAAGGCTCTCTTCGCGCGCAGGGGGTGCTGATCAAATCCCGAAAACGGAGAATAAAAACC